GGGGTATTATTATAAACTTTTTTTTATATTGTCCAATTCTATAAATAGAGGACCCTTGGCATGTCTCAAATGTGTGTGTGTGTGTGTGTGGCGGGTGTGGCTTTTCTTCCTTCTGCTCCTCACATTTTAAACTCATTTGTGTGGAATAAAGAGGCTAAGGAGCCCAAGAACACCCCTCTATGCCTCCCACAGGGCAACTCTCTCTCTCTCTCTCTCTCTCTCTCTCTCTCTCTCTCTTTCTCCTTCCCTCGCCAAATTACTGATTTTGCTTCAACACCCTAAAATGTGCAGTAAAAGTGGATCAAGCCACCAACAATAAGATGAGCCTTCCGAGTTTGAGAGCCCAAACCAGAGAAAGAAAAAGAAGAAAAAAAATAAGAGAAACAAGACAAAAAAAAGTAAGTGAGATGGCATAGAGCAAAAAGAAAATAGAGAAGGAAGAAACTCTCCCACTTTCCAAAAAGATCCCTTACGGAAGAACAAAAAGATAAGCATTTTTTTTTCTTTTGCCTTGCTTAATTTTCTCAAATGAAGAAAGAAATAAAAAGAGAGAAAAAATACAAAAATATTCCACCCTCTCATTTAAGACTCTCCTACGGGACGAGCAATCAAAGCCCCTCCTTTGGGACGAGCAAACAAAGTCCCTCCTCAGGGACGAGCAAACAAAATCTTTCTTGAGGGACGAGGAGCAAACAAAGCCTCTCCTTTGAGACGAGCAAATTGGTCTGTCAAACACTGTCTAAAAAACTTAATCAATAATAATCTTATCATAAAAGACCAATGGAAGGACTGATAAGAAACTAAGTCCAGCTAGTGGTCTATGAAAAAGAATTTTTGCATTTATGAGTTTTTTCATTCTTATCGCATCTTCGAGTCCAAGAACTTAAAAACTCGAGGGTTTTATGTATGGCCAAAAAATAACACCTCGTTGAGCTAAGATAAGCCATCATTAGAGTCACACAAGCAAAGATTTTCCCTTTTTTGGTCGGCCCCCTAGTTCGGACACCCTCATTGGGTGTCCCTGGGTCAGAGCCTCCCTGGTCAACCCCCTTGGTCAACCCTCTGGTTCGGCCTCCCTGGGTCGGCTACCCAGCTCCAACCAATCACCCAATGCCAATGTGCTCCAACGCTTTAGAATGATAAAAGGACCAAAGTATCTTATAATGCACTCCTTAAAGCAGGTGTATTATTATAAATTATTTTCTCTGTTATCATCAAATATAAATAGAGGACCCTTGACATTTGTAAAAGGAAGGGGGCTCTCTCTCTCTCCATCAACCTCACATTTTATTCTTATTTGTATGGAATAAAAGAGGCCAAAGAGCTTTATTAACCTCATTTTTGGTGAGGTCTATTTCCCCTCTAGAGTTCAGGAACTAGCCATATGTCTTCACTATTGAATTTTCTAGAAGACTAGTGATGCTACACTCCTCAATTAGAAATTTAATTCGCTTCTTGGCTCCTTGCAGTCTCATATATACGTTTCAAATCCACATTATTTAATTGAGTTGATTGGAACCAACATGTTGAAACTTAATTTGAGTTTCTATAAGAGTTGGAAATGGCCTAGGGAGACTCTTTATGACCTAGGGTTTCATCTCTTTGAAACACTGCATATACTTACACCATACACATACACACACCACAATCTATACCACACACCACAATCTATACCACACACCACAATCTATACCACACACCACAATCTATACCACACACCACAATCTATACCACACACCACAATCTATACCACACACATGCACTATGCATCACACCACACATACTCACACCATAATTCACTCTACACATCGGATTAAAGGACAAATTTGGGTTCAATAGAAACAAAAATGATGCATTTTTTCTTTGTTATTCATTTATAGAAAATATATAATCATTATCAATTTATGAAAAGTTTAATATCTCAAATTATTGTGAGAATTTGATTACCATCATAATTTTTACTTAGATTTATAAGTAATTTAACTTTAATTTCTTATGTAAATATGAAAAGAAATATCATTTTCTTATAAAAGATTTTATAACATCAATATCTACAATTAAAATATAATTTGGCAATAAAAAAAGGTAATAATATGGAACCACTATCCTTTCATAAATGTGTAAACTAACTTTATGAATTTAGAAAAATGTTTTGATATCGTCCTTTGTTTCTCTCAACCTTTCATTAAGGCTTCAATACTAGAAGAAAGTTTTATATATTTTATAATTAAAGATTGCTTTAATCAAGCAAGTTAGCAATCAATTATACAACTAAATTATAAGATATCAAAAAATTTTCTTTGTTAAATCATCTATTAATTTGCATATTAATGCTTATAAAAAAAGAGTAAATCATTTTGTACATCTTTAATATTGTTTTAAAAACTAAAAAGATATGTGAGTAGTAGAGAAAGAGTATTTTGGTCCCCATTTGTAAGAATAAATGGGATGCACAAGTGTATGCAAATTATTGAGCTATCAAGTTGATGTGTCATACTTTAAATTATGGGAGATGATAAGTGAACATGGGTTGAGAAGTGATGCAAAGATTTATCATAATCAGTTTGGATTTATGCCAGGCAGGTCTACTATGGAAGGTATACATTTATTGAGAGGGTTGATCATACATTTACTGAGATGATTGATGGAGAAGTACATAGAGAGTAAGGAGGATCTACCTACAATTTTTATTGACTTAGAAGAAGCTTGCAATAAGGTTCCAAGAGAAGTCCTTCGGAGCCTTTTAGAGAAGAAATGTGTTGATATGACTTATATTCAAGTTATTGAAGATATATATGTGAAGATATATATGTTAGAGTTGTTACTTGTATTCAAACAGGAGGATTGACCGAGTATTTTCCAATTTCAGTTGGATTACATCAGGGATCACCTTTAAGCCCATATATATATATATATATATATATATATAGTTATGGATGCTCTTACTGGATATTTAGAGGAGAATGAACCTTGGTATATGCTTTTCGTTGATGATATCCTTTTCATGGATAAGAATAGAGAAAGAGTTCAAGAAAGACTTAAATTATGGAAATCTACATTAGAGTCTAAAGGCCTTCGTTTGAGTAGATCTAAAACTAAATACATGGAATGTAATTTTAGTAGTAGTAGCTCTGATGGAAAATTTGTAAGTATGGGTAATAAAATCATTAAAAGGTGTGAACTTTTAAGATATATCGATTTATTGTTCAAAGTGATGGTGACATAGATGGGGATGTTATTAGTATATTCAAGTTGGTTGGTTGAATTGAAGGAATGCATCGAGTATATTGTGTGATAGAAAAGTATCACTTAGAATTAGAGGAAAATTTTGTAAAATGGTGGTAAGACCTGCAATGCTTTATGGCCCAAAATGTTGGAAGTGTTGCCAAGATGAGAATGTTTAGGTGGATGTGTGGCTTGATACTTATAGACAAAATACGAATGAATATATTCATGATAAGGTTTGTGCAACTCAAGTGGCGAACAATATTAAAGAGTCGTTTTATATGGATTGGTCACATTAAATGTCAATCATTTGAAGATAGTTGGCTTAAGTTCAAAAGTATTGGCTTCTACAATAGGAGTTTGGATACACAAGTGTACTTCATCTGTTGTAGAATTTGCATAATCCCTTAAAGGTCTTTATACATTTTGATTTTCATTAATTGTTTCTTGATTATCCAAGTTAATGGGCTAATTAGTAGATAATTCTACACTAAACCACGAACTTAATTTCATTCTCCAGTTTGTGGAACGAATCCTTGCCTCTTATTAGTCTCTCCTTCAGCGTTTGGAATATATATCTGAAATAACAGACGATGGTTAATAACTCCATTTGAATCTTCTTAAATCCACTTGTTCTTCAAATACATAGCCTTGTCCGCTTCTTCTATAAAATTGGTATGGCTAAACTGCATCTTAAATTGTAAATTAGTAGATATTTCTTCTTCAAATTTGTTACTTTTTTTTCTATTTTATAATTTTTCTAATAGTTATATCTAGTTCAAAATCAAAAGGTTCAAGCTCCTTTAAACCTACCCTACACATTCAATCCTAATAGAAAACTAATAAGTTTATACACAAACAAAAATAAAGGTACAAATAAAAAGTCTTACAAATCTAAGTCTTAAAGTTCAACTAAAAATTATCCTAAATTTTTCACCGTTTTGGTTCTCCGGCAACGACGCAGAAAACTTGATTCACACAGCGATTATCACAACTATGTAAGTTCTGGTAATGATACCAGAAACTTGATTTGCTTCATAGAAAATTGATTGAGTTCTTAAAATTATGTATTATTACTCACTAGGATTTCTCACACAAGTATACATATTGCTTCAATAATATAGGGCTCTATTGAGTCTGGATTGTCGATCTTACAGAGAACAAGGTAACGAGTTGAATAATATAGGGCTCTATTGAGTCCGGATTGTCGATTCCATAGAGAAGTTCTAGTCTACTACGCTAAGGTCTTAGTTTGGAGTGTCGATTAAGGTGATTTTTCTAACAACTATTCCTACATAAATTCTAACAACGCTATGTGAATTAATTTTGCCAAAAGCTAA